CAGGCCCTGGGCTACAACAAGGGTCAGACTAGTCTCTGCCTCCTGGAGCTTCCTCTCTAGAGGGCAGGARGCCAGGCCAGAGGGAGATCTGCAGGTGAGGCCAGGTGGGAGGGCAGAGAGCAGGGGAATGTCCACAGGGAAGACCTGGGTCTGTAAGGAGGTGGTCAGGGGACGCGGGTGCCCAGGCACCCTGACCTTACCTAGGGCCAGTGTCTAGCTTGGCCTCAGAGGCCACCACACCCCAGCATCAACACCTGGTCAACACCTGGTCAGTGCCCTTTCAGCCCACAGGTGGCTGGGAGCCCCTAGGCCTGCCCCTACGGTGTCCACTCTGCACTCAACCACTCCTCCAGGGTCGGATTCTTTTCCTGGGGCTTCGAGGAGCCCTGTCATCAAACACTCAAGACTGGGGACCCACCTGGCCAAGCCAATCTACATCGGTGGCATCTGGTCACCTCCTCAGGCTCCTTGACTCCCTGGACCACTAAAAGGCCTACATGGTCTCTCCCAGGACATGCTGTCTGCCCTGATACTCTGAAAACTGAGGACTCTCAGCCCCTCCAGCAGCAGGGGCCCAGGCCTCCTCACACCTCCTGCTGATTCTCTGCCCCCAGGCCAAGGTCCCTCTGACAGCTCCACCTCCCTGGCAAGACCCCCAACAACCCTCCATACAGGGGACCCAGCTGTGCAGGCTCAGGGCAGGGGCAATCTCACCCCCAACACAAGACAAACACCCCCTCTCAAGTTGGACCAGGACAAGGTTAGTCTGGCCCTGGCCAGTGGCTTGGCCACTCATAACTGTGTCCTGAGCCCACCCTGCTTTCCTCCATATGTCTCAGGGGAGTCCTAGAGGCTACCAGGTGCAGAGTGGATGCTGGGAGCATCTGTCAGTGGTACTGGGTTAATGATGGGGGGAGCAGAGTCTGGACAGAAACTGGGGTGTCTGTCCAGAAGTGGACGCCAGTGCTCAGGACCCAGAGCTGGTAACTCCTGAGAAGAAGGGACTAAGGCAGACACAGGGAAGTAAGCTCTGTCCTTTCAGATGTGGGGAGCTGCACTGAGTTACTACGCCTTCCAGTCCTGATGCACCACTGGGATCTAAAGATCAGTGTACTCTGATGCAGTAGTGCAATGACTCATGACTCGGTCTCCCCCCACCCCCCACCCCACTGGGATAGCAAGGCCAGTCTTCTGAGTAAGCATAACCCTGGGTTGAGCAACACTCACCTATTCTTTTGTAATCCTACCCCTTTGCCCTGTTTGGGATAGAATGTTCCATGGACACTCCCTTTTTGTGTCCCCTTCTCTTGCTCTGCCTTTGGGTATGGCCTTCCTAGCTGTCAGTCAACCTGCTGACAGCAGACATCAGGAAGCTAGACTCAGCTCCTGAAATCTGACCCCTTGCCTCATTTGAATGGCTTCTCCACAATAAAAGGGTTCAGCATATGCTTGCTCTCTCTCTTCTCTCAGAGGAGCCATCACAGAACCCCAAAGAAAAGGTATCTCTGTCTCTGTGTGATTATTTCATGCAGCCCAGGTCACCTGGAGTGACTTTGAGTGTTTTAGTCGTGAGAAATGTAAGATTGGGCAAGGTGAGCAGCAACCAAAGGAGGCAGATTTAAAAAGGCCGCCAAACCAGGCTTTACTGAGACTCACTCCCAGGCAGAACTCCATCAGACCTACAGAGTGGACAGGAGGAGGGGCTGAGGAGAAACCGCGTAGGAGCTCCACTGGACTGGGATTTTACAGGGATCACGGCAGGAAGGGAAGGGCTTGGGACAGGAAAAGGGATTTTTAGGGTCCCTTGTCCCGCTGGAGTTGGTCAGGGGAGCTGGCTGAGATCCAGGATTGGCCAGGGGGTTCTGTTGATTGACAGGCGTTCGGTGCCTGATTGATATTTCTTTCCTGCACGGGCTGCTTTGTTCTAAGTCACCGCTGCTGACCTGACAAGAAACATGACAGTCGGAGACCAGAACATTCCAGGTACCATCCAGCACCTGCTCACTGGAGTCTCAGCCTTGATGATTGTCCCTTACTGACACTGATGTTCACTCTCCCTCCCCTGCCCAGGCCCTTGTCCTCAGAGATGCTGTTCCCATCTACCAGGTGAGTGTGGGTGATGAACATCCTGGCCCGCAGTCCAGTGGGGACTCAGGAGCTGCCCCCTCCACACACCTTCCCGAGATTTCCAGGAAACAGCAGCCAAAACAGGATCAGGGTGGTGAGCAGGGAGGGAGGGGCCTGGGAACAGGAGCCACTGAGCCCAGCCAGGAGCAGGCACAGAGCAGTCCCAGGGGGGCCAGGGCCTAGGAGTCTCTGATCCCTGTTCTTAGAAGGACACAGGGTCAGAGGACTCTTGTTTTTTTCAGGAATTACTAAACCCTGACGTGGACACCTACTGCTGGGTCCATAGCCAAGTTCATGTGGATTCTTAGTTCCCCCCAGACAATGCTGCATATGGGCTGAGGGAGGGTCCCACTAGAACCCCAGACCCTAGATGGTGGCACCTGAGCCCTGGGAGACTCTGGCACCTGGAGGAGGTGGGGKTCCCTGGGTTYCTGGAGACCCAGACAGGCTGCCCTGGGCTCTGAATGGCCAGGACTAGGCTGCCTGTGCCCAGGAGCAGGGGCTTCAGGGAGAGGGAAGGGCCCTGTGGGTCACCTGGAAAGGAGCTGAATAAAGACCCCCTTCCCTCCTTCGCTCTTGGTTCCTGTGGGAACGTCTCTTGGCAGACACTCCCCTCAGGGTCCAGGTCAGCTCTCTCCTGTGTCACGCAGGGGAATCGTGGTCTCTAAGTGGTTCCCACAGGTTTCTCTTCCTGGGAGACAGGAGCTGGGAGGTGGAGCCAGGGCAAAGGTCGGGTCTGTCCACAGGGAAGGGKGAGGGTCCCAAGGCCCTGCAGCCAGCAGAGCACTCAGTGGCCCTCACATTCCAGGGACCCATGGTGGCTAGCTGTGGCCACTGATTTCTTTCCTACTCAAAGGCCAGTACTCAGCACATCTTCACCTCCGCTGGGGCATGGACATTGAGTGTCAGAGTAATCAGGGGACAGGGCCAGACCCAGACTCAGGCCCTGAACAAGGGCCTCAGGCCCTGCCCGAGGCTCCAGCCCTGCCCTCCCATCACCTTCCACTCTGCCCTGCCTGGTCTCTCTGGGACCAGCCTCCTCTCCACCCTCCAGCACCCAGGGCAGAGGCTCAGGGCTCCCCACATGGGGCTCTCCAGATACCATGGTGATGGGACAGAGGGTCTCCTCCCTGACCTGGGGCCCAGAATGTCCACTGCAGTCTCCTCCACACACTTGGGCCACTGCTCTGACTCCTTCCCTGAAGACTGGGAAGGGTGACGTTTTCCTGTAGGTTCACTTGGATCAGGCCATCACTTTTCTGGATATTAAGAGGTCAATGTACTAAAGCTCAGGGACACTCTCCTAATGCCTAAGAGTTGTCTGTGCTGAGGTGAGAAGTAGGAAGAGACCCTCGGAGTGTCCAGCATGACTCTGCTCTAGTGAGGCTCCTCTGCATGAACACAGCATCAGATCACACACGGTGACTGCTCTCGCCTTGGTGTCCTGGTGCTCGGGTACATACTGGCTCCCACACAGTGGCTCCAACAGTAGATACCAAGGTGGCCATGAGCTGCACTCTTCTGGAGGCTCCACGGGAGTCAGTTTCCTCACCTTTTCCAGCTTCTAGCTGCTGCCTGCTTCCCTGGCCTGTGGGCCCGACTCCATCTTTGAAGAAAGCAAGTGGCCCCTGAAGGCTCTCTGCTCTGCTCCTGCCCCACACCTCTGGCTTCTTCTGTCTGTCCTGCTTCCCTCTCTCCCTTACAAGGAAAGGACCTTGTGACTACCTGGACCCACCAGATGGACCACAAGAACCTGTCACAATTATATTAGAATATATGATTAATGTGATTAATATGATTCAATTATATGTGATTAATATTTCCAGAATAGGCAAATATATATGACAGAAAACACTAGCGGTTTTCTAGGAGTATGGGATTTGGGGGAAAATGGGAGAGTGACTGCTAATGAATATAGAGTTTCTTGTGGAGTTGATAAAACTTTTAAAATGGATGTTAGTAGTGGTGTACAATTCTATGGATACCTAAAACTATTGAGTCAGACTCTTAAAATAGGTGGCTTTTACGGCATGTGAGTTATAGCTGAATAAAGCTAATTTTTTAAAAAATTTAACCTTTATTTCATTTATTTGTTTTTATGTGGTGCTGAGAATCAAACCCAGGACCTCACTCATTCTAAGCAAGCACTTTACCACTGAGCTATAACCCCAACCCAAAGCTATTATAAATTAATGAGAAAATGTTCAACAATTCTTAAATTTTTTCCACTGCATGTATTCAGCACCGTATTAGATATTTCTGTAATTTTTCATCAATAATACAATGATCAAAGAAACTCATGGATAAAGGACAGTAAATTATGATTAATTCTATTTTTACCCATTCTCTTGTTCTTTTTCCTTCTGAAGTTTTCAGTCTTCTGTTATTTTTTATGTATGTATTTATTTATTTTGATACCTAGGGATTGAAACTGGTAGGGGCTCTTTATCACTGAGCTATGTCCCCAGTTTTGTTTTGTTTTTGTTTTTGTTTTTGTTTTTTGAGACAGGGTCTCACTAAGTCACTCAGGCTGGACTCAAACTTGACATCCTCCTAACTTGGCCTCCTAAATCACTAGAATTACAGGCATATACCACTGAACCTGGCCTTTTAGCTATTTTTAAAGACAGTAATAATTTTCTTCATCAAAGAATGTCCTTATTTTCCTTTTATTCCAGAAAAATGTTCCCCCGGCAACTGGGCATGACACTGCCATTTTATCAGGCCAATCTGTCCACTCCCTAGACATAGCTGGCCCTCCTCATACCTTCCACATCTCCATACTCTCATGGACCACAGGACAAAGCACAAGGGTAACTCTACAACTTTATTTGGTTAATCAAAAGGGTCTGGGCGTTGATACAGCTGGATGGTCAGTACCTGAAGACAAGCAGGAGGCCTAAGAGAATTCCCCAAGAAGGATCTTGACTAGAGGGCCCCGCACCAACAGTCTGGGACTTCTGTATGATGTTGAGGACCTCAGTCACTTTGATACTTCCAATATGATGAAAATCTGATAAGAGATTCTGATATTTACGAGCACAGCCCAAGATGAGGAAGGTGGTATTGAGCGTCCCTATAAGGAAGAAAGGGAAGATTCAGGGACGTTTCAAGAGAGCCATTATCCAGAAGCTCCTCACAAACCAGGACACCTCCTTTTCCCACTAACACACCAGATACCTTACCCCTTCCTCCTTGGAATTCTTGTGACTGGTCCCCTCTACCCAGAATCCCATCTTCAGACCCCATCAGCCTCTCTCAGAGGTTTGTTTGAAGTCATTAACAGCACCTGGCATACAGCAAGCATTTGATAAACAAAGTTCCTCTCCTCTCACCTGCCTGAAATTTGAAGGTGGAACTGAAACAGCTATGGGCAACAGAGGGACAAGTCTCAGAGGAGACAAAATTTGGAAGACACTCCTCATTGTGCCTGCCCACACACGTTGGGCAAGTATTCGAAGAACTTGAGGTAGACTTAGCAGATTTGGCCTTGAGCCTCACAAAAGGCTGCAAGTTGGTGAGGTTATTGCAGAGAAAGGTCCGGCAAACGTGACTATAGGAGGCAATGGACACTCCAGGAGGTGAAACAAGGTAGGAGACTTGTTGATGGTAAGATAAGCTTGAAGTGCAGCCTTTAAACCCCACAACTCCCCTTCTGGTCCCTGAGGAGCAGAGGATTAGAGAGTTCTGATCAGTGTCATTGGCCTCACCCAAAGTCCACCCTTCTCCCTCATCATCTGTGCCCTCTCTGCCCACCCCACACCTTTGCTTCTTCCCCATGTTCACTCACTGCAGCTGCATGAGGCTCAGATGCTGAGGTCTCCATCTTGGTCTCTTTAACCTTCTCCCTACAGGAGTCCCTCTGCTCTTCCCTGTGTCCCATCCCTTTTTCTACCCCATATTTCCCCCTCCTCCAAGATCCGCCCATCTCCATTTTGTGCTCTTCATCAGCCCACACTACAAACAGCTGGGACCATCACTGCTCTTGCCAGTATCCTGACATATTCCCAAACATACAATGACGTCAATATCTGGAACTCTAGTCCTGAGTGCTGGGAGTGGAGCTAGGGGTAGAAGAGTGAGCAGAAGGAGATTATTAAACCCACCCCACTTCACCTGACTCAATGAGCACTAGTGTCTCCTCACAGCCTTCTCTCAGCTTACACACCATGCTCCTCATCAGAAGCCACCTCCAGTTATGGAAGGTAACAGCTCTGAATGCTGAGGCTCTTGCTTCATAGCACAAAAGAGTATCAGCCCCTAAAAAGAGAATGAACTTCCAGGCATCTGCCCCACATCACCTTCTCAGGCCCTGACTTCCAACCAAGAATTAAGCCTTGGACCTAGATACCCAGCCCTCCTTCCCCAAGTGACATGAATCCAGCCTCCCACCTTTTGAGGTCTTAATAGCATTCAGCCCCCCAAGACATACAAGGTAGAGAAGAGATGGCCCCTAGGAGGCAGAGCAGATGCACAGGTCTCAAATGCTGGGATCCCATGGTCCTGTGTCTGGGTCCTGTATGCTAAAAGTCAGTCTGGAACCAATTTCAGCGTGGGTTCCAAATTCAGTTCTTGGCAGTCCCTAAATTCTCTGTTCACCCACTTCTGGGTCACTGTTTCTGGAGCAGAAAGTTGACTGCATCAGTTACTTGAGGACTTCAGGAACACAGGCTCCCCATTTCCATGGTCTCCCCTCCAATCTAACCCATTCCCAGCACATCAGCTTCTCAAAGCACAGCTCTAATTCTCCCACTTAGGTCCTCCCACTAGCCTTGGTCGGATCCGAAAGACCACTATTGCACAGGCTGTTCTCCAGTCAGACACAATGACAGCAGAAAAGCAAATGGATGCTCACAATTCCTATGAGTGGAAGTCATTCAAAAGACTACTACACACCACTTGGCTCAATAAAGAAACTAGAAAACATTTATGACTGAATAATATTATAATGCATACCACACACGAGTACATGCCAAATCCACTGAAAACTCAATAACATCTGTAGACTAGTTAAGAGTATTGTACCAATTTCTATTTCTCACTCATATGCTATAGTTATATAACATGTCCCCATGGGGAAACTAGAGGAAGGGTTCAAGGTACTTCATGTACTATTTTCGCAACTTTCTATGAGCCAATAATCATTTCACAATTGAGAGATTTGGGTTTTCTTTTTAAAAACAACAACATACCAAATTTTAGGATACAATAGTATTTACAAGTAAACCTATATTTTTAAATAAATTTATCAGGAAAAAAGAAACATTGAAAAATAAATATGTTCATGAATTAGCTCAAGAGGTTGTATAAGGAAAAATGAAGCACACACTCCCAAAATAAGAATAGAAATAAAAAGGATGGCAGAAATCAATGAAACAGTAAACAACAACACTCATTATTATAAAAAAAACCTAATGTTCATTCTTTGAAAAGATTAATAATATAATTATCTGGCAAATGTGCTCAAGAGAAAAGATGCAAATAAAATAAGAATGAAAAATGGGAAGTGACAGCAGATGTTTTATAAATAATAAAAGTATCATTAACAACTCTACATTGATAAATTTGAAAACCCAGATGCAGTGAATAAACTTTTAAAATAATAGAAAATGCCAAAATTAGCATAAGAATATACATAACGCAGCACTGGGAGTGCAGCTCAGTGATACAGCACTTGCCTAGTACACTTACGGCCCTGGGTTCAATCCCCAATAAGGGGAGCTGGAGGAATAGCCAAGGACCTCCTGAAAATCAACCAGAAAAAGACAGCAATCCTGTAGGAAAATGGACCGAGTATATGTAGAGGCAATCCTCAGACAAGCAAGCAAGAAAGGCTAACAGACACACCTAGCAACAATCAGAGAAATGCAGCCTCCTCAAACTGTACATCTCTTGGACTGACTATAATCAGGAAGCTGGAAACAGACAAGTTTTGGCAGGAATGTGGGGATAAAGGGGTCCTTGTGCACTGCTGTTCATGTGATGGTTGGTGGGATGGTGGATAGGGTTCTTTTCCAGATCCTGAGGAACAGAGGAGTTCAGAGTTCTGATCAGTGTCTCAGGCCCAACACAGCATTGCARAAGGAAGTCCGACAATATTTATTCAAATTAGGTATGTAAATATGCACTTCTGGTATATCCTGGATACAAAATTTTCCACCTTTGGGTTTATGAGGATGCAAGCATTATTGTGATGGGTAAGCGGAGGCAATAGGCACATCCCTTCCTGAGACCAACTGAACACACAACATGAAGGGATATACACCACACAATATCATGGCAGTTAGAAGCAACTGATTAGATGTACACTTGTGTATGCGCATGGGTCATAAAAGTACAGATGTGATTATTTTAAGTAGTAAATAATAATATCATGGGCATAAATTTGAAAATGTGCAAAAAACTCTACACACTTTTGGGACAATCCACACAAACCAAAAGATACACATTAAGCACCTTAGAAGGACKGCATATAGGAAGGTTAGGGAATGAAAGGGGGAATAAGGATTAGTGGAAATAACTAAAACAATATAGGATGGGGTATGAAGTTCATAGGTCTTGCACACAAAGAGAGACCAAAGCTGGAATCTTTATCCTGCTGCTTACCAGCTACACGATCTTCCACAATTTGTTGAAGTCTTGAGTCTGCTTTTTCATTAATAAAATGTATTAATAATATATCTTACAGGGTCATTGTGAAGATTAATAAGATTATTAATATAAAGTACAGGCAAATGCTGAACTCTATAAATGTTGGTTCCTCTCTCCCTTCTCCATTTAGAGGATCTAGTTCAAGTTGTTTAGCTGGCATTCAAGCCTTCCCCCACCTCACCACCCCCAAGYTGACCCCAAACAACCTTTCAATTTTATCTAATATGGCTCCCTGCACAGCAGTCCAGCTGGAGGTCACTTTTCAAGCCTGGAATGCCACAGATCCACAGGGTTTGTGGCCCAGAATACTGCAGCAAAGAGGCTAAGGTCCACAGAAAAGAAGGGACATGGAAAGGGGAAATGAAGGCTAATAAAGGTTTACACAGAGGTGTTATTCTAACCAGAGAAAATCGCACACACCAGCCCTTGAGACAAGACAGGATAGAACAACCTAAGCACAAGTGGAGACACAAACAGAACAGACTTGAAATGAAACCCAGAAAGAACAAAGGATGGAGTGGTCAGAGGGGATGCTACCCCTACAAAAAAAAAAAAAAAAATATCTACAGAGAGGAGAAGCGACCTGATGGACTGGAACCCTGCAGGGAGACAAAGGACCAGCAGGGACAGCACAGCAAAAAGGCAGGAAATGAGGAGTGAGGCACTCAAAACAGTGAATGAAAGAAAGGAGACAGGGTGGGATGGACAGAGAAAAGGGATCATACAGAGAGGATGGGGAGGGAAAGTGTGAAATGGGTGTTAGGGAAACGGGGGAAGGCTACCATTAAGAGTCCTGGGAACAGTTGAAATTCCTAGAGGCACGCAGAGGGCAGAGGGCCTCGAAGGAAAAGTACAGACGCCTCCGGAGGCAAAGAATGCAAGAAAGGGGCGCAGGTTATCAGGGAATAAATAACCGGAAGAAACTGGGTCCAAAAAGCAGCAAGTTGAACAAGCAGAAAGAAGGTCAGACACAGAGACAAGGAGTTCAATTGAGAAGGTGAGACCCTGGAAGGAAACAGGGAAATCACAGGTTGGGGAAATGCATCAGAGGCAAAGCATAGATTCGGAGTTGGGAAACCGGAAGAGAAGTGAAAAAGAACMAGCCAGTTCACGCAGCGAGGATCAGCAGCGAAGGCAAAGCCCGGAGCGCAGGCCAGAAATGAGACTGCGCATGCGCCCACAGTCTGGTCAACGCCTGGGGGCGGGGCCGAGCCTACCGTTCCTGGGGGCGGGGGGTGGGCCAACCTCGGTCCGGGAGGCAGTATTCGACGCCCCATTGGTCACCTTCTCCAAAAGAGGAAGAACAATCTAAGAAGGCAGGCCATGGGGGGAAGGGCAAGGGGCACGAGACTCAACTCGACGCGCTATTGGCTGGCCTGATGGTCTGGCGCGCGGAGAAGTGGGCAGGAGGGAAGGGGCGGGCCATCAACGTACGGATCTCGAAGCACATTGGCCACCGGCCTGAACAGCAGTAGGCGGTGCTTGAAGCTCATTGGCCCCTGTGATAAGGGGCGGGAAAACCAGCGCGAGTGCAGCCGTTCCTCTAGCCACTTTCTCGTCCTTTCCCTTGGCCACCTCCTGTCTGAGTCTGACTCTGCTCTCGCGGCTGTGGTAACCACGGACCGGGGCGCGAACACGACCCCCCCTCCCTGTTCCTTCTGCTCCCTCTCACTTGGCACTGGATCTCCCCACAGGCATCCTCTCGCCCTTCCCCTCGCGCTCCTCGTGCCTCTCTTCTCCCTTCCCCCACCCCGCGGGCCCCTGGGCGCGTTCTCGTGCCCTGCCCCCTCCCAGGGATGCTGGAGCGGGGCGGAGCCACAAGTCCAGTGTTTGGGGGGATGGCTGCTGGAAGGGGTTGCAGGAGAGAAATGGTTGCATAAGGAGGGGAGAATGCATGAGATTGTTATTAGTGGGTACAGGGGCATAAGCACTGGGTGCAGCCACGACTGCACAGGTTCGCCTGAAAGCCTGGATGCCTTCTAGATGCAGTGGAGAAATTGACGCCATCAGCTGAAGAATTTTGGTGTTGATCAGGGCCTCGCACATGGCTGGAACTCAGTAACCTGTCCAGTGAAGGAATGCGTGAATTAAAATAACTATTGAAAGTAGGGCCAGGAGCAGGGTGGGAATGTGGCTTAGTGGTAGAGGACTTCCCTACCATCCATGAGGCCATGGGTTCTATCCCCCAGCATTGCTCAAAAAGAAAAGGAAAAAGGAAAGAAGGACAAGGAATTCATTAGAATAATGTAGAACAAAATCGGACTGGAGGAGTGTGAAGGGCAGACAGAATTCTGAATTGTGGGTATGGTGGGACTAAGAATTGAGGAGGGCATAAAAATATTTTTAGGGATTAGATAAATGCAAGCCATAGGATGACAACTGTTGAAAATGATGCCAGGAAGAATTCTTGGGTGGAACGGGATGTTTGTAGAAAGGGGGTGCAGATACCATTGAGGGGGATCCTGGGAGGACATGTATATGACTCAGACTGAGTTCTGTCATGGGAAAGTGTGCAGATGAAAGATAATGATGTCTGCATTGAACATATACCTAAGAAAGGCCAGGGCAGGGGGTTCTTAGGAAGATCCATGAGAAAGGTCATGAGGTGAAAGCTGAGTCCAGAGTGGTCAGGCTGGAGACTCGTGGTGTGGCCTCTTCCAGGCAGAAGGGTTAGGTTAGAGTTACTTAGGGGAGGGACCACATGCCCATCCTGAACTGCCACTCCTGCCCCTAGATCCATGGAACCCAGTGAAACACCTGCTGTACACCACTGCCCTGCTGACTCTGTCCTGGGAGGTGAGACCAGAGCCCCCCAGAGCACAGAGCTTATCCCCAGAAGAGCTGTCAGTCGCTCTCCAACCTGTGCCCGCTGCCGCAACCATGGTGTCACTGCCCACCTCAAGGGCCACAAGCGCCTCTGCCTCTTTCAGGCTTGCGAGTGTCACAAATGTGTCCTTATCCTGTGAGTATAAGGGAGGGGAAGAGGATGGGCTTCCTCTAAAGGGTGGCTGACTTCTGACTTGCACCCCCACACACACTTTAGGGAGCGCCGAAGGGTCATGGCTGCCCAGGTCGCCTTGCGCAGGCAGCAAGAGGCACAACTAAAGAGGCATCTGGCTCAGGGACTGATGAGGAGAGGAACAGCCCCTCTCAAAGCTCCCACCCGTGTCAAGAAAGGAGCCACTCGACCAGGGGTCCCCTGTGAGTGTCTCTGACTGGGAATGGTACAGGGATTTGGGTATAGAAAGCATAAGTGGAGAAGAGAGTCCTGCCACTGAATTGATATTTGACCCTGGGCAAAGTCACCCCAACTATAAAATGTGATCAAATGTTGTGAGGATACAGTGAGATYTGCAGGTAGAACATAGTCAGAGGGACATATGAACTCAGATGGGGCTGGGATAAAACAGGTTAAAAGAAAAGACTCACTAGAGCTCTCTGGTCCCTCACAGCTGGAAAGGAGAACATAGCACCCCARCCTCAGAGCCCCCATGGGGCAGTCCCACTGGCACTGACACCTCCTGGGAAGGTAAGGAAAGCCTGTGCCCTGAGAGAGTAGCTCCCAGCCTAAGTCCTGCAGAGACCTCTTCTTCTGTGCCCTCAACACCTGATACTAGCCCCTACCCTAACTTACTGTGTAATCATGGGCAAGTCACTTTTGTGGGCAAAATGACAGTACTGGATTTTTAAGTGCCCCCCCTCCACTATTTAGGGGTCCTACAACCATCCCAGAATACACCCATTCCTTCTCCAGCCTTGTACCTAACTCTAACCTATGCCCTCTGCCCTTGCAGGAGAACTCCTGTGGGCCTCTGCTGCTCAGCCGTCCCCCAGAAGCCTTACCTTTACCCTGGACTCCAGTGCCTCCTGGCCCTTGGGGACCAGGGCACTGGCTGCCTCCAGGCCTCTCCATGCCACCTCCAGTGGTATGCCGCTTGCTATGCCAAGAACCTGCTGTCCCTCTACATCCCTTCCCTGGTAGGAAGATAGTTCAACATTCATTCAACAGATACTTGTGTGCCAGTTTGCCACTATCAAAAAAGGAAGAGCTCTGCATTTTCTTACCCACCTTAGGCTTTGACCCTGGCACCTCCCTCCGGCTGCCCACCCACGGGTCCCTCCCAACCTTCCCAGGATCTCGCTCAGTACTGACAGCTCCTCTTTCTGGAGAGCCCCAAGGGCCCCCTAGCCTGCCCCACACGTGAGTAGAGAAAAAAGGATGTATATTTATTCTGAGCCTGACTCTGTGATGGATGATAAAAAAGGAAAGGTCTTGGGCTGGGGCTGGGGCTCAGTAGCAGAGCRCTTGCCTAGCATGTGTGAGGCACTGGGTTCGATTCTCAGCACCACGTATCAATAAATAAAATAAAGGTCCATTGACAACTAAAAAATATTTAAAAAAAAAAAGAAAGATCTCAGGCTAATAGGTGAGGCAGAGTTCTCCTAACTCTAGTATTTCTTAGCTGTGAACCTTTGAATAAATGTCTATATTTTCCTGAGCTTGTTTTTCTATTGGCAAATAAGAAATGCTATTACTTTCAGTTGTCATAATAATTAACAATAATGTATGTAATATACCTAGCCCTGGTCCCCAAACCTTGAACAAATAGTAGCTATGAAATCCTCTTAAACAGATAAGATGAATTAGGATTGCCTGCAAAATGGAAGGCCACTATAACAAGAACCTTAGAGGCCAAGGAAAGAGGCCAGAGGTCATTAGAGATAGCTTCTTGAAGGTGGGATAGGGGAACTGGGGGAGAGAAACCAGAATCTGGTAGGGCAGGGTCATAATCTCAGTCCCTCTATGTATTTTGCCCATTTTTTAAAACTTAACACCAATGATTTCCTATAATCTGGGCAGGAAAAACTGACAGGAATTTTCGTTTTATGGAAAACAATGGAGGCTAAGACAGTGAACAGGATTTAACCAGGCCCACAAAGTCCAGTGGCCCAGCAGCCTCTCAGCTTCCCAGATCAAAATGTATATATGTCTGTTTATGTGACTGATATGACCTGGCATCTCTCCTTGTTTCTAGATGCTCGACTCTGATACTCCAGTCCTGTGGCACCCCAGACTCTCTTCTGCTACAGCCACAGGTCCTGGGAAAGAAGTGGCATCCAAGACCCAGGGAGGAGGTTGAGCCTGGGGAAGGAAAAAGCAAGGAACTATAAAAGAACCAGGGGCAGAGGAACACCTGCAGGTTGGGCAGAAGTGGGGATTCCCAGTCTGCTTCTTTCCCTTTCCTTTGCAGGCCCCTGGAGCCTCTCGCCTGGCCTGGACATCTGCCCCCTCAGAGCGGCAGCTGCAGCGGGAGGCAGCTGAGGCCCTTGTGGGTCTGAAAGATTCATCCCAGGCTCCCCGCCTGACCCCTTCTGTCCCCCCCAACCCTGCCTGGATCTCCCTGCTCCACCCCTGTGGCCCACCAGGTAACCTGCTTCCTGAAAGGGGAGGATGGAATAAGAATGGCACTAAATGGAGGTCACTAGAGCAAGCAGAGGTCAGGGATGGAGATGAGGGAAGGGGTTAACAAGTTGAATGTCCTCAGATCCAGGCTCCCAAGTTCCTCAGCCTGGCCTCTGGGATTTTTAGTTGAAGCTTATTCAGTGAATCACATTTACCAGTTTCGTGCTCAGCACAATCATCTAGTATTCCAATGTCAAGGAAAATTAGAGAGGTGGAGATTTTTCCAATGGCATATAGCCAGACAGTGTGGAAGCATGTCTCCTGACTCCAGCCCCAAGGTTCTCTCTCCAGACCCTAGCTGCTTGCTGAAGTCTGAAAAGGGAATGAAGAAGTAACCAGGGTCTGACCTGGGAAGAGGTGATAACTACCTTCCAGGGGTTTCCTTCCTGCTTAGGGAATCTGGATGCTTTCACAAGGCTCGTGGTGAGACCATAGAACTCTTAAGGAGTGAGAAACACTCAGTTTCAATTTGTGGACAGAGAGGGAAGGCTGAGAGCCTTTCTGTTCCAATAGTGGATTGGTTTAGAGGAATTGCTGCAACAGGGAGAGATGCAGCCAGATAGGCTTCTGATTGTGGAGATATGGCATGCTGGGTTTAAGAGTTTACACAAACAACTGTGCACAAAGGGGAGCCAAGAAATGTTTCTAAACTTGRCAAGATATATCCCAGAGAGCCTGAGCTTGAGAAAGAAAAATATGGTAGCTTTAATGGAGGGGCTAGAAAAGGCAAGATTGGAGGTGAGGAAATCAGCAAGAGGAGGTCTGTGCAGTTAGCAGGTGAACAAGGGTGAGGTGGAGCAGATGGGGTAAACAGAGATCTGCTGGGAGGGGAAACGGATATGACAGGTTCTACCTTTTCCTGCCTGTAGCTCCTGCTGGAGGAAGAGGATTCCAACCTGTCGGCCCCTCTCTCCGTCCCAGCCCAGCTCCTTCAGTATCTCTGCATATTGGGCGCCTGGGGTCCATCTCCCTTCTGAGTTAAAAGCCCAGAGGTGGAGGCTGCCTCACTGGGGCAGGAAACCAATAGCCCACAGGCACTGCATATTTGGTATTTTACTTACAGATTTTTGCATGGAATTTAATATAGTACAAGCTTCAGGATTTTTTTTTTAAGCTTTCAGGTGCTTTGTTAGCTTTCAGTTCCTTTTATAGTGTGGGCATTTCCCTGGCCAAAGATGGATATTTTCATACCCTTCCTTGGGTCTTAGGATCTTTTTAAATATCCAAGAAACAAAGAGTTGTACAGTTTAAGCTGACCAGTATCTAAATACTTTTCTGCATGAGTTCATGTTCTGTATATACCTATGCACTCATGTCTGCTCCATGCATATGAAAACAGGAGAGTACTTTCATTATGTGTCTAGGTTTGTGTGAATAAGCAAAAAATAAACATTTGTTGTTTTAAGTACTGAGATTTGGGGATTATCTGTTACTATAGCCTAACCTTGTCTATCCTGACTGATAGAAAGGACTTATTCAATTCACCTCTCATAACGAAAATCAGTTATTTAAGATTTACTACAAGGACTGAGCCTTTCATGCCTGAGGCTCTGGATATATCCCCAGTACCACRAAAAAATACCACAAATAAGGACTGAGGTTGTGGCTCAGTGGTAGAGTACTTGCCTATCATGTGTGAGGCCCTGGGTTTGATTCTCAGCATCACATATAAATAAAGATCCACTGGCAACTAAAAAATATTTTTTAAATACCACAAATAAGCACAAACTTGGAATTCTTATTATGACCATATAACAGTTTCCTGCTATCCAGAGGGCCACAAATTGAAATACCTACAGGACTGAGCAGACCATATAAACAAGTTAAAAGGGGGAGGTAAGGGCTGGCAAACTGAAAATACATGCTTTACCTAAAGGGGCAGACATTTTTGGCCCTAGTGGATTGTTGCCAGGCAGAAACATGGGCTCAGAGTTGCCACATCTTCTGATTTTTCAAATAAAATTGAGAAACTTTTTTTTTATGTTCAACATCTTATTTTTTTTAATGTTGGCACATTTTTCTTCTTTATATCTTATGTGGGCCAAATAAAACATACCCAAAGGCCAGCTTTGGTCAATGGAATGTCAATTTGATGCTAAACTAAGGTGACATTTTCCAGATGGAGAAACTGAGGCCAATTAGGACAGGAAGCACCAAGTTAGTCTTTATCAAAAAGAGTTTTTCCTGAACTAGGGAGGTTTCTGTGTCTAAGTTTGGAAGAATTCTTCCAAACAATCATTACCATTTATTAAGTATTCACTATATGTGATACACGTATATCCTAACAGTAATTCAGTAAGTTGTGAATTACTTCCATTTTATTAATAAAGAGGCTAAAAGAAGTAAAGTGACTTGCTTGAAATTTTAGGGAAATTTTCTAAGCAATACTCAGGAGGATTCCTTCTCCTTGCCAGTCCTCAAATGAATTAATAGATAATTTTTATAAAGCACAGAGTCTTATCTCCAGGGGATAGACATGAATCAAAGTTTTTCAAAAATGTCTTGCTTTTTCTACTCAAGTAATCATTAGTAAGAACTTACCTACATTTGTTTCTTAGTCTTCTGCTGTTGAGTCTCCTTGAGATGTTCCAAACTTATGAAGACCTATGAGCTACGCTATTCTAAAGATATGCAGACCTGGAGACCCTATCCATACCCACCCTTAGAAGGGGCAGACAGAAAGCTCAAAGGACATGCCTGGTCACTGACCGTTTTTCCTGATGTTACTTATGCCCCTTTTTATTCTTTTTATTTATTGGTGGTGATGATATCCAATTACAGCTTGTTCTTATTTGGGTCCTTACAAAGGTGGCCCCTAACAGATTACAGAGTGACAAACCTGCAGCACTTCTCAGGAGACCTTGCAAGATATCAACAGAACTGAAGTCCACTTGACATCTTCCTTTACTCCCTAGTTATAACTTAGATATATGATTGCCCTTTAATAGACCTGCCTAAGCCTTGCTGTGCCATGCTTTCCCAGTGACAGAAGTCACAAAGCAGGGAATCACTGTTACTCAGACTATGCTAAGACTTTGCTACTCAGGGCTGACCAAGGGTCCCCAGTACGCCAGGGTCACTCATTTGGGAAGAAAATGAGAGTATAATTTTGGGAAAAGGATGCATGAGAAGGGACCTCCATTTCCGTGGAGCCCACCTCCCCATCAATGCTAGTATTTTTCCAAATCATTAGTACCTCTCATTGGTGCCTGGAGGAGTCGGGCAGATCTCCTGAAAGAGGTCAGCCTTAGGAATGGGGTAAATTTAAGAATTGTTCATRCAGGCTGGGTTTGTGGCTCAGTGGTAGAGCATTYGCCTAGCACATGTGAGGTCCTGGGTTCGATCCTCAGCACCACATAAAAATAAATAAATAAATAAAGGTATTGTGTCCAATTACAACTAAAAAATAAATATTTTTAAAAAAATTGTTCATGCTTCCACATTGCACTCTTCATCCACAGTTGAGGAAACCAGCCTCCRAGATTTTAGCCAGTGGACTGTGAGCACTGTTTTTCCTATACAACCCTCTTTCCCACTTGCCACTGCAAAGTTGGGAATGGTGTTGCCATGGTCCACTGGAGTACTGGGTAAGTCTCTCCCCTTCAAATGCTCTCTCAACACTCTAGAAATAACCAATGATTTCAAATATGAAGCATCATTRCACCCTTTTTTTCCTCACAAGACCCTTCCCCAGAGCCATATACATTTTTTTTTCATTTTGCAGTACTGGAAACTCAATACAAAGGTACTCTATCACTTAGCTAAATCCCCAGGGCCCCCCAAACCTTTTTTAAGATTATTTTTTTAAGGGGCTGGGGATGTGGCTCAAGCGGTAGCGCGCTCGTCTGGCATGCGTGCGGCCCGGGTTCGATCCTCAGCACCACATACCAACAAAGATGTTGTGTCCGCCGAGAACTAAATAAAATAAATATTTAAAAAAAAAAAAGATTATTTTTTTAAGACAGGTCTCACCAAGTTGCTTAGGGCYTTGCTAACTTGTTGAGGCTGGCCTTGAACTTGAGATTCTCCTGCCTCAGCCTCCCAAGTAGCTGGGATTATAGGAATGAACCACTACACTTTGTGCATCCCCAGCACTTTTCATCTTTTACTTTTGAGATAGAGTCTTGATAAATTACAGAGGCTGGCCTGGAACTTGCAGTCCTCCTGCTTCTGCCTCCCCAGTCGTTGGAGTTACAGGCATGTGAAACCATGCCAAGCTAATTTTGTTTTGCAGTACTCTGCAGGGAACCCAGGGCATCAAGCATATAGGCAAACACTCTACTTGTGATCCTTTCATCTCAGCCTCCCAAGTAACTGGGATTATGGGTATGTGCCACCATGCTGGGCTATACCCAGGTTTTATTTCAGGAGCACAGTTCACAATTCTGCCGTTTGAGAATTCATGCTCCCTTCACTTCAGCCCTACTCAAACTTCGTCCATTCCTGACCACATTTCTAGTCCAAGGTAGCCATGATATCACACCACCTATCCTGTTCAGGTTATCCTCAGACCCTCGTTCCTGGTTCATGTAGTGTTTTAGTCAGCTTTTTCACTGGTGTGACTGAAAGCCCCAACCAGAACAACTGTAAAGTGGGAAAGGTTTATTTAGAGGCTCACGGTTTCAGAGGTCTTAGTCCACAAAAGGGCAGTTCCATTCCTCGGGGCTCACAGTGAGGCACAACATCATGGTTGAAGAGTGTAGTGGAGGGAAGTAGCTCACGTGGCTCCACTCTCCAGATTCAAAATATATAATATACCCCATGGCCACACCCCCAATGAACCACTTCCTCCAGCAACAACACCCACATTCCAGTTACCACTTAATCCATTAGGAATTAATTCACAGATTGGGTTAAGTCTATAACCCAATCATTTCTCCTCCAAATCTTGCATTGTTTCACACGTGAGCTTTTGGGGGACACCACATCTAAACTATAACATGTAGGTTCATTCTGTACCCATGATGCCTTATGTAGTTGGTTTTGCAGCTCATGACAAACATTCACATGTACACAGCCTTAAAACTCATGTCCTGTATAGACTTATGAAAATCCTAAGCTCTTCCCTAAAGCAAGATTATCCTTTTCATCTCTATTGAACCCATTAGTCAGAGTCCTTATGTTCTTTAGGGGCCCTTGCCCGCTATTTAACAGACCTGATTATCTTAAACTATGCCTGTGTCCATCTGTGTCCATCTCTATGCCCAGAATAACTATTCTCAGAGGATAGCACCCAAGGCTGGGGAGTAACTCAATGCCAGAGTGTTCTCCTAGTACCAACAAGGTCCTGGGTTCCATCCCCAGCACGACCAAAAAAAAAAAAAAAATTTAAAACAATCCAGAGGCCAAGGCCTGTTTTCAGTACCTCTTTGTGAGATTTCAGAATATATGGGTAAAAAAAGGTGTTTCCAATACCTTAGGAATTGTTTTTCCTGCCCTCAAGTCATTCTTTTAATGTAGTTTATTTTTTAGAGCAGTTTTGGATTCACAGCAAAATGAAGTAGAAAGTGGTGTTTATGGGGCTGGGGATGTGGCTCAGGCAGTAGCGCACTCGCCTGGCATGCGTGCRGCCCGGGTTCGATCCTCAGCACCACATACAAACAAAGATGTTGTGTCCGCTGAAAACTAAAAAAAAATAAATATTAAAAAATTCTCTCTCTCTCTCTCTCTCTAAAAAAAAAAAAAAGTGGTGTTTACATACACCACTCTTCCTACATACACAGTCTCCACTGTTTCCATCTCTATCAACACCCTACACCAAAGTGATACATTTTTTTACAACTGATGAGTCTACATTAACACAACTCACCCAATGTCCACAGCTTACATTAGGGTTCACACTTGGTGGTATGCATTTTTTGGGTTCTGACTAACGATAACAACATATGTCTATTATTATAATATCAAAGAGAATAATTTCACTACCCTAAAACTCCTCTGAGAAACATCTATTCATCCCGCCCCCCAACAAAACTTTGACAA